ATTCTAGTCATATTCGCATAGTTTCATGGGATTTGAGTCATTTTTTCTTAAATTAAAACTTCCTCTGTTTCACACTTCAACCAAAAGAAAAGTGTTACGTATTAAATTAAAAATGACTCTAATTATGTTAACACATACGAGCGCAAATAACGACAAGAGCAAAAGATTACATGCTTCCCTTCTAATAATACGAGCGGCAAATAAAATTCAGTTACGCCATAACCCATAGAACTCGGGCACACTTAAGACGTGCTTCCTAGTTGCCTCTTTTTAAAAAAAATTGTTGGGTGCCAACACGAAAAAATGTTACTTCATTATAAAAAAAAAAAATGCAACGTTAGATCCAGATATAAAACCAATCTTGTATATTATCTCAATTTCCTGATTACCAAATGCTCTTCCACACACAATCGTACTTTGAAACCTTCCCAAAAAGATGTCTAATTAAGGCCTACATGGGCCTCAACAGAAAGCAAAAAGCTTTAAGATTTGTTTGTTAACTGCAAAAGACTTGAAGAGATACCATAAAACATATGACGTCATCTAATTCCTTTAACAGAGAAGTGATTTTTTATAAAAAAAACTGTTTGCATGTCACTCCACAAGATATTGTCAAAAAAAACAAAAATTATGACATATCATCAATCTGGTGATAAAGTTTCATAAACTTTCAAAGCTATATCACTTTTTTTTTTCTACTATAAAAATGAATTCTCTTTAAATTTTTTAAACAGAAAGTCTTATCTTCAAAACTTATTGCATTACCAATAATCAACACAGTTAATAATTTTTTTAGTAAAAATACACTAATAATAATCACCACCATTAATAGTTTAGAATAATTCCATTTCTACTCACAAAAAACATTTACACATTTTCTTTGAATAAATTTACTCAAATTTGACCCTATCAAAAATCAAAATAATTCATTCCTTTCATTATAAAATAAAAGCATTTTAAATTTAGAAAGAAATACAATATATTGAACACAAGCTCATGAAATTAATATAGATTATTAACATATAAGATAATTTAATTATTATAAGAATTTGAATTATTTAATTAGGTGAATACAACACAATAATATATATATAGGAGAATTTC